AGTCCAGCTCAGTAGCAGAGCACCTTCTGTCCTGCCCAAACTGTGTCCTGCAGCCAGAAGTCCAAGGGTCACGTGACACACAAGATCCACTGCATGACCCATGGTGACACGGGTGATGCTCCAGGCGGGGCTGTGCCACTGTAACGTCAGCCAAGACCCTGGGAACCGTGTGGCATCCACATGCAGACTCCTGGGGTCCCTGGCAGCCCCCAGGAAGCCTCCTTCCCTTGCCCTTCCTCCCTGCTGCCCCCACTCCTGGAGGCCAGCGGTCCCCTCTCCACCTCTACATTCTGTCATTTGGAGAAAAGTACAGACAGTAAGAAAAAAAAAATAGTGCAGAGAACAGAGGACATGAGGATGAGTGTTGTCGCAGCCCTGGTCCATGCTCTGTGCCTGGCTGTCACTGATCAGCTGTCTGTCTATCTGCCTACGTCTATCTACCATCTATTTATCACCTGTGTAAGTATCACCTATCAATCAATCAATCAATCGTCTATCACCTACCTCTAGTGCCTACCTTGATCACCTATCACGAGCCTAGCTATTGTCTACCCACCACCTGTCCCCAGCACTGCCTGTCATCCTCTGTCTGTTCCTGCTCACTGTCATCCTATGTGCCTATCATCTGTGTCACCTGCACGCCACACACTCACCTTCTGCCTGTCTCCACACGGGTCCTTGTGTGGCCCTGCCCTGGCTCTTGTTCCATGCCCCCTTCATGGCCCGGTCCCCATGCTGTGACTCTGTACACCAGGCAAGGCTCCACCCAGGGCGGAGACCTCACTGCTCAGCCCCAGCAGTGGCCTTGAGCCCGTGCTGGGTCCTTTTTACCCAAGGTCACTGGGCAGACTTGTCCCCTGTGACCACGTGCCACTGAGGACCCAGTGTGTGGGATGGATCTCCTGCCAAGTCATCCATTCAGGGAGGGTTCGGGGAGGCAGGAAGTGACATCATGGGGGCAGCAGGAGAGGTGCTGCAGGGAGACAGGGGACAAGGCCAAGCCAGGGGCACAGGAGAAGCGGACATCTGGGTGCACACCCGGGGTACACAAGGGGTGCTTGGGTGGGGACGCTTTGGGGCCCTTGGCTCTCCTGGAGTGAGGTGGGGACCTCTGAGCCCGCGCAGTGGGACCCAGTGGCTGGGCTTGGGTTCCGGCAGGCACAGGCTGTGGGGCTGGGGGACCCCAGTTGGATGGTGACATGGGGCCAGAGGCCAGTCTGAGCTGCTGCCCCTGGTCCCATGGGCATAAGGAAGACAGGGTAGATCTCGAGGTAGTGTGAGACCTGAGGGGCGCGGAGTGGGGGCTGCCGGGCCAGGCTTAAGGCCCCCAGTGCTGTGGTTGGGGGTGCAGCTGGCATCCAGGGAGAGCACCAACCTCAGCTGGGGTGCTGGCACAGTGCCACCCCGCACAGCTCGCTGTGGCAAAGGAGTAGGAAGGTGCCAGGCCAGTGAGCACAGCCCCCGAGGCCGGAGCAGGGCTGATCTGCAGGATCCCAGGCCAGCTGCTGAGCCGAGGCCACCTCTGATGGTGACCCCGCACCTCCCAGCGCTTCCCCAGGTTCTGCCTCCCGGTGCTGCCCTTGCCCTGCACTGCAGGGAGATTCTGGGAGCTGCATGGCACCCCACAGCCACGGCCATGTCCCTGAGCCGCTGGGTGTGTCACTCCCACCCAGCTTCTCTGGGCCACAGAGACTGAGCTAGGATGGACAGTGGCCCTAGTGCCATGTCGGGGTCCCCTCTGCTCCAGGGACTGCCATCCCGGGCCTGAGGGTGTCCCATGGCAGGGGAACTTGGGAGCAACTGTGTCTTCTGGGTCAGGGTTTAAACGGCCACCCCAGACCCCCAGCACTGGGCTTTCCTGGCCTCTGCGGGGATATTAGAGAGAGCAGGGCCCTGATAGCCCTTAGGAGTGAGGGGACACGGGCCCTACCCGCCAGGCAGGAGTGAGGAGCAGCCTGGGGTCCCAAGGGGCTCGGGTCCTAGACACAGTGCCCTGTGTCCTTAGCTGCGGGCCTCGCTGCACACCTGACCGTGCCACGCTGGCGGCCACGGCCTCGCTGTTCCTCTTCGATTTCATGAAACTTGGTGGCTGTCATTTCCGTAGTGTACCTAGGGCTCCCTGGACAGAGGCCAGGTATGACCAAAGAAATAAAAGAACAGTTGGGTTTTGGACTTAAACACTTAGATTTCATGACAGGAGCACAGTGAAGAAAAGCCTCACTCTAAAGCCCAGCTCGGAAGCCAGATCGAAGCCTGGACTCTCCGTGGTGCTTGTGGCCATGGCTTTCACTGCCGACCTCACCCTGGGCAGCGCGGGGCTCCCCTCAGTGGTCAGGGGCTCCCCTCAGTGGACCAGGTCCCCCTCCAAGGGGCGGCTCCTCCTGCAGCATGGCTCGTCCTTGCAGGTTCCTGCCTTGCCGTTCTCTTTGTCCCTGAAATGCGTCCTCACGAGGAGCTGGATGGAGGTGGTCCGCATTTGGGGAGGTGTGAGTGTCCCCGTCTGGTTGTCCACCCACCCTGTGGCTCCCAGAGAGGACAGGGCCCCTCCACGCCTCTGAAGTCAGGGGCCGAGTGACAGCAAGTCTCTGATGTCTAAGGTGGGGGCACTGACAGCCCTTCTAGGAAGATGCAGTCTCCATGGCGAGGGATGGGACGAGGCCAGGTGCCACTCACCTTAGTGGACTTCGTGGTGCTCACGGTGGGCTCTGGGGCAGACAGCTGGGGCTGTGGAGTAAACGCCCTCAGGCACACGTCGCTGGGAAGGGAACGGGCACGGAGCACGAGCGAGGGCGTTCGCTGCCATCAGGAGGGGCACACCGCCCAGGGTCACTGGCAGCCGGGCAGGGTCAGGGTGGCCTGGGCATTGGCCCCCAGCTGGGTTCTGCGTCCCCTCTCCCCTGGCACAGATAGGCGAGCACGTCAGCTCAGAGGGAGGCTGTAGGGTGAGGCTCCATCATTCCGCGTTACTTTTCTACTCCGCACAGAAAGGAGAGGCCAGAAATGAGCCCTGCTGGGACAGTGGGAGAACATTTTGAGTAGGCTCTGTGTGGACGCTCTCCACGGCTGCTCTTCATTGGCGCAGCGGGCACGGTTGCGGCAGAAGACACTGGGGAATCAGCCTCCCAGAGAGGCCAAGCTCGCGTCCAGGCTGAGGCCACCGTGGAGAGCCTCAGCGTCCACCCAGAGCCCGTCCTGCCGAGCAGAGCAGCAGCCGTGCCGCCAGTGCTTTGCAGCCTGGGCACGTGCCCACACGGGCACCTTTCCAGCAGGGACCGGTCAGGCCTGTGTGGTGGAGGAGGTGGCGATGGCCTCACAGAGGTGTCATGTCCACGTCCCTGAGCGCCCCACTGGGTGCTGAAGCTGGGCACCATGTTCTGGGCTAGAGCTCCTGGGAGCAGGGACTCTGGGTCCTGAGCTGTCTCTGGGCACGGGACACGCATGGAAAGCAAACGCAGCCTTGTGGTGGCAGCTGGCAGCTCCACCAGCCTCTCAGGCTCACGGGCTGCACGTGGCCCACGGGCTGCTGCCACGGTGCCCCCCCCTGTGGTGAAACTGGAGACACTGCCTTGTGCCCCACGGGTCCCTCCAACCCTCCCATCTTCTGACCCTGACCCCAGGAGCACCTTGCCCCAGGACAGGCCCCCTCTTCCTGGCTGCTGTGCCCCCATCACACCTTGCCCAGGGCCAGGCGCGAAGAGTCAGGGTGGGGAGGGGCAGTCATGGTAGGCGCACGGCACCCCCGGGGAGCCCATGCTGTGCCGAGCGAGGGCTTCCAGACTTCCTGACACTGAGCCTCTCTCCATGCCACAGAGGCAGGGAGCCAGGTGCCCTTCCAGAGCACAAGGCCACTACCATGCCCACCTGCACACACCCGGTAGCCGCAGGGTCCCTGCGGACACATGGGGGCCGGTGGGGCCTCATCTCCCCCCGTGCCTGAGCTGGCGCAGCCCCAGCACTGAGGCCCAGGTTTCAGAAACAGAAATGGGGGAAGGCTTAGCGCCTGCGGAAACCTGGGATTGACGTGCCCAGGAGGGGCACATGGGCAGGACTCTAGAGGGCTAGGAGAAATTTGTTGCTGAGGGTAAAGGGAGGTGGCACGGGTGGTGCCCCAGGTGGCTTTAGTGGGGCCAGGTGCCTGCGACAGACAGGGGCAACCACGGGGCCAGAAGGAAGGAAGGTTTGACCTTTCAGGACTCCTGCTCGCCCTTACGGTTCCCACTGACCCCTAGGGGTGCCTGCTGCCCCTGGCATCTGGAGCTGAGATTTGAGGCTCCCTGTGCCTGGTGGGCAAAGGTCCTTGATGCCACTCAGGGCTCCTGCGTGTCTCCAAGCCCGAAAGTCTGGGGAGAGTGTGGCCCCCGCTCCCACACCGTGTGCCCCATGTGTACACGGTGGTTACGCCATCTGGCCGGATGTCCTGTAGTGGGCGGAAATCCCCTCTGCCCGGGAGGCCTGCTGTGCGGGCTCTGCGTCCCACTTGTGCTGTCACTGACAGCCTGGTCCCGGCTGGTGCCCTGCACCCAGGGCAGGATGCGGCCCACAGCTGAGGCCCAGCTGCACAGTGGTGGGCCTTGGATGGTGCTGGGCAGGAGGAGGTGGCAGCATGTGGGGTAGGGAGAACTGGCGCTGCACCGGCTGGGCACAGTCGGGCGCCAGCTGTCCTGGGGTCGCAGTCCTGTGAGGGCCCAGCTGCCACTGCTGAGCCCCAAGCTGGCCCCAGGCAAGCCCAGCTGGGGCCTGAGAGCCCTGGAGGTGGTGGCCTCATGCTGCCGGGCTTACCTGCCCCTCCCTTCTCCACTTCACCCAGAGAATTAGTAAGTGGCTACTGTGGGCCACACACTCCACGCCTGGGAGGGCCTGCTTAGGGCTGCTGTGGGCAGAGCAGGCCACACCAATCACAGTAGAGGGGGGCCTGCAGGTCGCAGCCTGGTGTCCCATGGCAGGGCCCGGCACTGGTTCCTCAGCGTGTCATGAGCCACGCCTGCTCCCTTTCCTTTCAGACTCGCAAGCAGTACGTGGATGCTACCAATGCCAGCAACCGAGTCTTCCTGTACTGCGCCTTCCTGGAGTTCAGGTACTGTTACGTGGGAGGGACCATGTGAGCAGGGCAGAGCAGGGTGGGCGGCGGGGGGACAGGGTGGAACGGGGGCAGCCGGGCCGAGTCACATAGCACCAGAGGAGGGCAACGTGGTCACACGTGACACCGGGAGGAGGGACCGGCTGGTACAGGTGCCTTCTCTCCAGTCCCGGGGATGTGGCTTCCTGTTCCGTGGACTCCGCAGGATGGGGCCTCTTAGAGCCTGAGTTGACCTTTCACCCCATCAGTGATGCAGGTGGAGCCTGCTGTTGCAGGGGGGCTCCGATGTGCCCTGCTGTCCTCTCTCACAGGAGGTGCCCTGCTGTCCTCTCTCACGGGAGGTGCCCTGCTGTCCTCTCTCACGGGAGGCTGAGGGAGAGGTGTGAGAGGCTCTGAAAAGCACCCCTGATCCCAGAGCCAGCACCCAGGACCTCAGACAGTGGAAGGCCACAAAGCAAACACAACCGATGACCTGATTAGAATGCACCACAGGCTTCAGTGGACCTCGGCTGAAGGGGGGAGGTGCGGTGGCCACCGCTGCACAACAGCCAGGTCCCCAGGGGGTGCAGGCCACTGTCCACATGAACACTCGCAATGCGCTGCAGCCGGACACAGGGTCAGTCCTGGCGGGTGGAGAGACGGGCCCCTGGCTGTGGGTGGGTTGTGAATCGTTAGCACAGCCGTCGTGGAATCAGGCACGGGGTCCTCAGAATTAACCATGGAGCTTCCCGTGGCCGTGGTCTGCTCCCACTTCCTGGTGAGGTCCAGAGGGAAGGAATTCCGTGTTAGGGAGGCAGCTACACGCCGCGTGTGCTGAACCTCACCAAGACGCAGACAGTGCAGCGGCCTGGGGAGCGAGGAACGGATCGGATCTGGGAAATGGGCCTGAAAACTTGCTGTTAGGTGCCGGGCAGCCTCACCCCCCTCAGACCGTGGCCTTGTGGATACAGGACCTGCGTCCTTCCCACCTGCCGCTTTCTAACGCTTACTTCTTAGTGTCAGTGGCTATTCAGCAAGCCACACCTGCTCACGGACTGTGCTGTTGGCTGGACGGTGGGACGGGGCGTGGCCAGAGCGGGAAGACATGCCCTTGCACTCAGAGACACCCCACCAGCTCTGCGGCCACTGGCCCAGCCTCTGTCTCCAGTGCCGCCCTGCCCCCAGGGGCGCTGTAGCGTGGCTTGGGGCAAGTGGCCCTGGAGCCTGCTTCTTGGTATGCATAGCCCAGCTGGTGGAGCACGTGCATATAGCTCACGGGCAGTGCCGGGCCGTGGCCTTTGGGCCGTGGCAGTTGGGCTGACCCAGCCTGGCTGGTCTGTGTATCCTGCTGAGGGCCGCCAAGGGGTCGTTTCCAGATCGGAGGATTAGGAAAAAGCTGAATATCCCACTAGCCTTGCACTCCCAGGATAATCACTTGGTTCTGGTGTGTTGTCCTTTCTGGACTTTGCTGAATTTAATTTGTTGGAATTATTGAGGATTTTTGTGTCTGTAATTGTGAAGGAACTTGGTCTGTAGTTTGTTTGTTTGTGGCTTTTGTAGGGAGGCAACGATACCTGTGTGAAAGGCCCTCTTTGGAAGGCCTTTTGGGATAGTGTATATAGAATTCCTACCACTTACTCCTCGTACTTTGGAGGAATTCACCGATGGACGCGTGGCCGTGCCTTCCGCTGCAGGCCGATCTCCCCACTTTCGGTTCCTTGATGGACCCAGGGCTATTCACCGATGGACGTGTGGCCGTGCCTTCCGCCGCAGGCCGATCTCCCCACTTTCGGTTCCTTGATGGACCCAGGGCTATTCACCGATGGACGTGTGGCCGTGCCTTCCGCCGCAGGCCGATCTCCCCACTTTCGGTTCCTTGATGGACCCAGGGCTATTCAGGCCACCGTTGCTTAATCTGTGAGCAGACACAGAGTCTGCGCTCTGTGGTTGGCCTTTTTGCTTCTGGTTTCTGGTGGTGTCCTGCTCTCATTCCTTGTGTCTGCAGTGCGTGTCTTTTCTCTTTGTTCTGAGTCACTCTTACTGGGCATTTATCTATTTTATTTATTATTTCAAAGAAACAATTTTTGGCGTGATTGATTTTTCTTTATCGCATGTGTTATGGATTTTGTTGATTTATGCTCTTCCTCTCTCACTTATCTCTCAGGGGGCTGTTTACCACCTAAAGATTTCATTTTTCTTTTTTTGGAATTTCCTAACATGAGGGCAAGATAGCTGATGTGAAATCTTGGTTGTTTTCTTTCCTTTTCTTTTTTTTTCCCGGAACCAGGGATTGAACTTAGGACCCTGCACTTGCCAGGCAAGTGCTTATTCTACTGAGCCATCTCCACAGCCCCTGGTTATTTTCTTTCTTTTTTTTTTTTTTTTGCTCCGAATGCCTTCAGGGCAGGTTTAGCTGGCTTGAATTGTGGGGATCAAACCACAGCAACCTGAGCCTGACTGCTTTGTTGAAGCAGCCGCTTAAAGAGCTGGTTATTTTCTAATGTAAACATTTAATGCCCCTCCTTTTCCCGGAAGTGCCAGTTTTGCTGCATCCCACAAATGCTCTGTTATTTTACTTTTATCAAATTCAGAATGTTTTTAACTTTTCCTTGTGGCTTTCTTTTCCACTTGTACATAATTCTGCGATGTGCCGTTTCATTTCCACATAGTCGGTTACCTGAAAACACTTTCTGGAAGTTTGATCTTTAAGTTTGTTAGAAGTCATCCTACGACCCGGGACATGTTCAGCCTTGGTGAATATGCAATGTACCCTTGAAAAAAATCAGTCCTTGATGGAGAATTCCATAATGCCAGCGAGACCCGGTTGACGGCTAGGTATGCCCTGGCCTCCCTGTCCTTATGACTGCCTGCCAGAATGCGCTACCCATTACGCTCGGCCTTTGTATCCTTGGTTTCTGAATTGATGGCTCCAACAAAACATGGATGGAAGAGATTTGGAAAGAAAAATTGCATCTGTATGGAACACATGCAAGCTTCCCTTCCAGCCACGCCCCCTCAGACAAGCCGGAGCCCTGACGCTCGTCCACACAGCCTGCGCCTTGTGGCAGGAGCCGTGCCCTCGCCCTGTGCAGCACAGGGGAGCCAGCCGTGGCTTGTGGTGCTGTCTCCCACCAGGGCTCGAGCACCCACATCCTCGCGTCTGGCCAGAGGTGTGAGAGGACCCCCGTGGGCCAGCGTCCTCATGGACTTAGCCATGGCTCCTTGTGGCTTTTTACATTTTTCTTTACTGTCTTTAAATTCAGACTGTTTGAGGCTGGATTTGTTTTCTGACCTAGTCATGAAATTTCTGTTTCTGATAGGTGTGTTTATCTGTCTGTCTGTCTGTCTGTCTGTCTGCCTATTTATTTATATTTAGTGCAGGATCTACAGGGTCTCACTACACAGATCGGACTCGTATTGATTCTCCTGTGTTCAGTCTCCCAAGCACTGGGATTACAGGCTTGAATCACCACGCCAGTCTCAATCACCTTCCCAGTGCACCCCGGGGACGGGGCCGGCACGGCACACCGGGAGTTGAACCCCAGTCCCTGCATCTGCCTAAGTAGGTTCTTTAACCCACTGAGCTATCTGGCCGGCCTGGTAGGTGCGTATAGACAATCGATATTTCTATAAATATTGATGGAGTGAAGCCTACTATTTTGCTAGATGCTTCCCAAGTTTGCTCTCTTTTCTGTGTGTTTTTAATGTCAAACTTTTCCTGGCTTCACTTGGATTTCAAGGCAGCATTATGGTGCTGTTTTGTCTCTCCCATTGACTTTGAATTTATGCCTCTTCTTCACGTTTTGTGGTGGCTGCCTGGGCGTGTATCACGCGTGGCCCCCCCGCGTGGTCTGCTGGCTGTGGGCATTCGGTCGTAGCAAGTGTGTTCTGCAGTGCTGCTGCGCGCAGGCTTCTGTGTAGCCGTGTCCTCGCTAGTGCTGTAGAGAGGTGTGGAAGCAGCGGCTGCTGTCGCCCAGGAGCCAGCGTGCAGCAGTGCCAAGTAAGACGCGAAGGCGGGGCTGCCCCGTCCAGCAGCTTCGCGTCCTGTGCAGACCCGGGCTTCCGCCCCGCCCCGTCCCTCGGCTTTCTTGTGGTGCAAGTCCTCTGGGCATGGACGCAGGGATGTTTGGCTGAGAAGGCATTCGCTTTTACTTTGGAAGATGTCTTCTCTGGTCTTGGATTCTAGCCGTTTTAGGTTTCTTCTCTGTGAAGCTGTACTCTTTTCAACAGTGACAAATGTTTAAGAAAAGCCAATGTCCCCTTCGACCTTTGCTTACGGCCTGTCCCTCTTTGTCCCTTTCTCGGGCGGGAGCCACAGGGCAGGGCATTTTTGTGTGTTGTTTCAATAGTTTCCGTATCGCTTGCAGGAAACGCCGTCTTGTTTCACTGAACATTTTGTGCGTCCTTCCACCCCTTTGTCTGTGTTTGGCCCCATTAGTGAATGTTTATTTTATTGGAGCGGCACACAGCACGCTCTCCGTGCACCCAGGGGAATGTCTCCCGCCTGGGTGCAGCCGGGCCAGGGCCGCTCCAGGCAGGGTATGTTTCCTGCCTCGCCGGCCCTGAGCCCGGTCTGTACCACACAGAAAGGTGCCATGCTGGCAGGGTCACTCCGTCATGGCGCCACTTGGAGTATGTGACGTGCGCGACTTCCCTGCCCCTCAGAGGGGCTGCTCTTCACTTCTGCGGTGCTCATGCGGACCCTTGCCTGGCAATGCCCCGGGCACCTCGGAGTACAGCACAGCCCTCCTGGTTTGGAGCACCCCTCCTCTGCAGGTCCGGCAAAGTAGCCTAGGGAATGGTACGGGACATGGTAGCCCGTGCCCACTGCGTGTCCCTGGAGACCGCTGGCCATACAAGAACAGCTTGTCCATCACTGAGGTCCCACCCATGCAGGGACTCACGCTTCCCTGGGGCAGAAATGCCACACCCAAGTGACTGGCCCAAGGACACTGATGGAGAGGTACAGGACAGGGTTCCGGGGCCACCCCTTCTCCCCTGACAGTGGCATCTCCCGCCACATCTTTGAGGCATTTGGATCATAGCTGAATATGACTCCAAGGCAGACTGAGGGCATCAACCACTCCTGCTTTAGGAATGTCTTCCCCAGAGGCCCCGCCCTGGGCAAAAGGCGACACCTGCCCGGCACCTGTTGGAATCTAAACATGAAGTGCAGGCAGGAGCATCGTCCTGGCCAATGCCGTCTCTTCCAGGACTGACCTGTGCATGTGGCAGCATGTTCCCTTCAGGCCACTTTCGTCTGGCTTATTCTTTAAGAAATTATCCAAGGAGCATGTGGATTAAAACCAGAAACATCACAGGACAAAGGTGAAGGCCCACCTGGCTGCTCGGGTCATCTGGCCTCCTGGCCTCTGGAGGCACCATGCTCGGGCGTGCTGGGTAACCCAGGTGTGAGTCACACTTGCATTCAGAGGAGTGTGCGATCCCTTTGTCACCGTGGTGCCCTGCATCTTGTCCCAGCAGTCCGTACTGGACAGTGTCTCATCACGTCTGTGTGCCTCACAGTGCCCGTGCCCATCAGCTCTGATCACCTCTGCAGATGTGTAGGGGCGGGCTGTGAATTACCATAGCGTGTGACTAGCGCCACTCGTGACTGGGTGAAGGCCCCACACAGGGCCTGTGCTCCTGGCCCACAGCCTCCCATGTGTTGTCCACGGTACCAGGCAAGGTCAGGGCCTCCGCAGGCCTCACCAGCGCTGGGGCCTCTGCTTCCTGCCTGCCTTCCATGCTGCTTGGAGCTCTGGGCCGCATGGCCCCCTCTGACCACCTCTGTTGTGTGCTTAGCTCTGGGAAAGGTGTGTGGTCGAGCCAGGGCTGTGCACGCAGGGAAGGAAACCTGTCCCACTCCATCTGCCGCTGCACACACCTCACCAACTTTGCCATCCTCATGCAAGTGGTCCCGCTGGAGGTGAGTGAGCTGGGCCCCGGGGGTGGGGTGGGGGGGTGGAGGTTTGGCAGCCTGGCTTCCGGTGGTCCCAGGTCCTCCTGGCCTGGCCACCTGTTGCACATCCTGGGATGTGCTCGGACCCACTGTCACCAGATTGAAGGGCACGTGGGGGACAGTGTGGTCCCGAGACGGGGCCATCAGCCCATCGAGACAGACTTGGCAGGGGACAGTGAACATCCAGGTCGCAGGGTCTGCATGCCGGGGACAGGAGGGGAGGGGAGGGACCCACACAGGGAGCACCCACCTCCGTCATATGGGAGGAGGCCGGACCCTCTGAATCCGAGATGAGTGCAAGTACAAATCTGTCACTGCCTGATAGCGATGACACCAGATTTAGACAGTCTGTGGGTGTCGTCGTGGGAGACCACATCTGTTCATTGCCAGAAAAGGTTGATTTGAAAAATGGTTTAAAATTACCCCTGCTAAAAATGAACGTTCTCATGAACATTGAAGACATTAAGGCAGAATTCTTAAGCAGATACCAGTTCTGCACACATCTACAGAGCACACGCAGGCGCCTCAGAGCCTACACCGAGCCCTCATCTTTGTTGGGCCCTGAGCAGGTGCTCGGGTCTGCGGCCCAGCTTATCCTGGGGACGCATGTCTTCACTTCCTGATGCCCTCTGAGGTTCCCTCCTTCCTCCTGGGTCCCCCAGGGTGGGGTTCACCTGCAAGGGCTGGGGCCAGGAGTGGGATCTTGGGGCTGCTGCCCAGGGAAGAGGAGCTCAGGGCAGTCCTAGGAGCCCCTCAAGGTGCCCAGGCTAGGATGAGGCTCTGCGGCTGGCAAGTGAAGCCACATCTCCACGCAGTAGTGGAGGAAGCTGCAGCTGGGGTGGGCACTGCCATGTGGGCCTGGCCTGGGGATTCCAGTTCCCTGGACCTTGACCCAGGCACTCACCAGTTTGTGTGGAATTCAGTAAGACAGCTCATGAGTAAATCAGCATCCGGAAGAGGGTTCCTAAGGCCAGGACTGGGATCGAGAGCTGTGCCCTTGGCAGGGAATGGGTTGGTCCCCGGGAGCTGCAGGTCGCCTGGCAAGTGCTGGGCTGGGCCACTCCTCTCTCCAGTTGCCTCTTCCTGGCACAGCCCTGCCCTGCAGGGGTGCAGGATCCCTTGCCAGGACAGGGGACCTTTCCCAGGTCCAACCTGACAGCCCCTGGGTAGAGCACTGTGGCTAGACGGTCACTGCCTGAAGGCTGGGGACTGGTGGTGGCCAGCAGGCGGCTGCATTTGTGATCCTGGTGGAGGGCGGTATGGGTGTGAGGGCCACAGGTCCTCCAGGCCTGCTAATCAGGGAGCCCACAGCTTCTGGAGCCCAAGGGCATGCTCGCTGACCTTCAGGACCCAGGGAGCCTACATGTCCCAAGGGTGGGTGCTGAGGAGAGCGGTGCAGGAAGGGCAGCACAGGGCCTGCTGTGGCCGGGGAGAGGAGATGTGACCAGAGCAGAGCCCACCCTCAGGTCATTTGTAGACACATGGAACCCTGGTGTCCTGCCTGGGCATAGTGACTCCTTTCACCTCCTAGCCAGGTGGGCAGGGAGGGCGTCCTCCAGTGGCTGTGGAGCTCTGGGTGACTGGCAGAGGACTAGGAACCCAGCATGCATGGGCCACAGCTGCAGCCCTAGCAGTAGGAGGCTGGGAGGCTGGGACCCTTGCAGCCCCCTCTCCCAATCCCTCTCCTCGCCCGCAGCTCCCACGTGGACACCAGGTGGCGCTGTCGTCCATCAGTTATGTTGGCTGTGTGCTGTCCGTGCTCTGCCTGGCCGCCACGCTGGTCACCTTCGCCGTGCTGTCGTGAGTCACCTCCTCCACACTCAGGGCCACTGCTCCAACACCTACATTCTGATCTGGGGTACAGGGGCTGGGGGCCACAGCTGGTGGGGAAGACAGGCTGCAGAGTGTCAGGGCTGAAGGCTACAGCCAAGCCGGAAAGGCCTGGAAAGCCCCGGCCCACACTCCAAGTTCTGGTGGGATCATAGCCGGGCCAGAGTGGGCCGCAACCCTTGCCTGCACCTCAGCACCCCCTGACTCTGGCAACCTGACTGCCCTAGGGATGGGGCCAGTCAACAACCGGGTGGATTACAGCAGGGACAGCATGGTGACACAGTGACCATGCCCCATGGGGACAGAGGAGAGGAGCCCCAGGAGGGAAGGTGCAAAGGCCCTGTGGCAGGTACAACCAAGAATGGGCCAGGACGGTGGCACATGCCTGTGATTCCAGCTCCGTGGGAAGCAGAGGCAGGAGAACCCCAACTTCCAGGCTGGCCCAGGAGCTCAGTGGCTTAGCATGACTCCATCTCAGACTAAAAGATGGGGTGCAGCTCTTGCAGAGTCCTGGGCTTAATCCCTAACACTCAAGAAAAAAGGAGAACAGAAAAGGGCACAGTGGCAGGGCAGGGCAGAGCATCAGCAGCGGCAGGCAGTGGGGTCAGACTGCGCAGGCCGTGAAGCCAAGCCCCGGGATGGGCAGGGGTGGCACTGGGCTGCTGAGGAGGGTCGACAGCCTGGCCTTATTGGCGCCCTGCCCGCAGCTCCGTCAGCACCATCAGGAACCAGCGTTACCACATCCACGCCAACCTGTCCTGTGCCGTCCTGGTGGCCCAGGTACTCCTGCTCATCAGCTTCCATGCAGAGCCGGGCACGGTGAGTGGCTGGCTGTACCTGGCCCTGCTGAAGGTCACTCCCAAGGGCATGGTGTGGCTGCGGGCCAGTGGGAGCCGGACAGGAAACAAAGCCACAGGGGGCAGTGGGAGCAAGAGTGGAGCCCGCAGCACCTGGGGACCCCTGTGTCCCTCTGGCGCAGGTCCCCTGCCAGGCGCTGGCCACGCTGCTACATTACTTCTTCCTGAGCGCCTTCGCCTGGATGCTGGTGGAGGGGCTGCACCTATACAGCATGGTGATCAAGGTGTTCGGGTCAGAGGGCGGCAAGCATCTCTACTACTATGGCATCGGATGGGGTAGGTGGGGCATGGGGGGGACGGGAGGGCGGAGCATGGTGGATGGGGTTGGGGGTGGAGGCGAGCCCTGCTGCTCCGGCAGAGGCTGAAGTCTCGCAGCCCTGGAGACACTCCTGACACTCCCGACTCACCCACTTGCTCGCCCTTTAATGGAGCAACTTGTGGTCTTCTTGATTTTCCTGGGGTGTTTGGTTTAGTTTTGTCATTTTGAGACAAGGTCTCGCTGCATAGCCCAGGCTGGCCTCGAGCTCCTAGCGATCCTGCCTCAGCTTCCCGAAGGCTGGGATCACAGGTGATTACAGGTGCGCGCTACCGCGTCCCAATTTCCTGTCATCTGGTGCAGAGCCTGTGCTCCAGATGTTGTCACTTCCCCCTCTGCTTGCCCTCGCTGTCCTCGTTCTCGGTCCGCTGAGCTCTGTGTGACGTCCTGGTTCTCAGCGGGTGGCTTGCCACCTGGATCGGGAGGCACTGTCTTCCCAAGTGCTCATCAGGGCCCGCGTTGCCTTCGTGCGCCCTCGCCTGCATGAGCCCGCTGGTCACCTACGTGTGTGGCGCCCAAGTCCCACAGGCCAAGACTGTTCCCTGTACTGGTGGCCAATTCCTTGTGCTCACCCTGGGTGGTTCGTGTGGCCCCGTTCCCCTTAACAGTGTGCTCAGGCTGGCTCTGTGGACCAGTCACGATCGGCCTGGAAGAAGCTGCAGGGAAGAGCCATCTGTGCCGTGCCAGTGGGCGTGCTGGGGCTCTGTGCTGTCACTGTGTCACTGCTCTGTGCCACCCTGGCCTTGGGCTCCGCACTGCCGCAAGCAGGCAGCCCTCGAGTCCACTCTGTCCTCAGCCTGACCGCTTGTTTCCTGCCTTGCACCCCGGGGTCTGTGCAGACTGTGTTCCTTGTCCTGATGAGCCGACCGCTTAGGGTGACGGGTGGCTCAGGGGTGCGGCGTTCCTCTTCCCTGAAGTCCTTGCTGAGTAGCCGCTCAGGCTGCGCGCCCTGCTGCTTGCACGGGTCCTCTTCCTCCTGCTGGCCCCGCCTGTTCGCGTCCGGGATCCGCAGGCATTGCCCGGGCCAGCTGTCCACTCTTGCTCTTGGGTCTACTCTACCTCCACAGCGAGCACCTCGACTGGTGTGTGTTCACATCTGCCTTTCGTCCACGTTTCCACAAACTTGTGACCTCTCTTGCTCTGTTCTTCGTTTACTGCCTTCCTTTGAAATAAGTGAAATTTTCTAGTGTAACCCTTCAATTCCCTGATGGATTCTTCGCTGCATTTCTGAGTTGTTTTTTCCTTAGCCGTTCTAGTGGTTATTGCGTCCGTCTTAGTTAGTTACATCCGCTTCCTACCGGATTCCAGCGGGTGGGGAAGGGCGACTCCGGCTCTGCGGTTCCCCTTCTTCTGCTGTTCCCGCTTGTTCCGTCCTCTCTGACCTCACAGGAAGCCGAGATGAGGAGAGGCCGGCGCGCCTGCGGGGTGCTGCGCCACCGTCCCCCCTGCAGTTTCTGGCCGCCTCGGCCACCAGCCTGTGCGTCTCCGCCCGCTCTGTGGCACAGGAGCCACGGCCCCGCTGTGCGCTGTGGGGAAGGGTTGCTTTTCTGGTTGTCACACGCCCAACAGGCAATCGCCGGTTTCTACTCCTCTTTCTCTCTGGATGGAGGCGCTACACGAGGAGGGCGTGCATTTAGTCCGTCCCTTGTAATGCCACAATCGCCTTCACCAGTGAGGCGTGCATACGTGCAGTGCGTGCGTGCGTGCGTGCGTGCGTTAGGATGACCGCGAGGCGTTCTGGTGGAACTTTCGTTTCCGTCTCTGCACCTCGCAAGCCCGCAGTTCCACCTGGATCCTTGATTGTTCCTTCAAAATGATGCCTGTGCCCTCGCTGCTGTGGAGGTGGTGTCGCCGCGCGCACGTGCCTTTCTGGGGCTGTTAGTCCTGGGAAACGCACTGCGCCGAGCTGCCAGGTCTTCCGTGACATCTCCGGGTCCCCTCCCAGCGCTTTCTGCCATCTGCTCGCCCTGTGCGCACGCGCGTCACACTCCTGCCATCGTCCTCAAAATCTGGGTGCGGGTGACATGCAGCAGCGCAGGGTCCGGGCCCCTCCAGGGCCGCGTGTTTCTGAGCACAGCCCCCTGGTCCCAGGGGCTCTGTCGGGCTTGCCCCCACGTCCCCTCGCGGCCAGCAGAGCATGCCCAGCACAAACCCACCCCAGGTGACAGCCCTGCGGGGTCGTTCGGCACCATCTTTGAGGTGTATAGGAAGGTTCGGCCGTTCTCTTCCTGAGTAAAGGCGATTCCCTGTGCACCCGTGGTCTCCCAGGTGCTCTGCAGAGCGTCTGCAGCCCTGGGTCTGGAAGCTTTTCTCTGGCCTGTCATCTGAGGGAGCCTGGGGCCAGGTCACCCTGCCTGCGCCTGGCTGGGCTGCCTGAAGTTTTCACACTCGCTGTGAAGCACCAGCCGGGCAGCGACCTGCCTCATCTGGGTAGACTGGTACAGACTCAGCCTCGTGATGGAGATTCCCAGTCAGCACGTGTGATCTGTCTGCAGCTGGAGCCGAGGAGCGACGCCCCACAGGGATGCACAGGGCGTGTGGGTGGCCACCTCCCCCCGTCTGTACCACCTGCAGCCCACACAGGAGCCCAGGTGGCCCCCAGGCCAGTGTCCTCTGCTGTCCACCCCAGGAGCCCAGCTCCTTCTGTTTATCCCCCGGGGCAGCTGGCTGCAGTTAGTGAGGGGTAGGAGGTGGGGCGGCCACCAAATGTCACTCACCGATTCCACGAGGAGTTAGTCACATACCGTGGAGGCAGGGTGTGGGCACATGCATGTGTGCTAAGCCTCAGTGAAGCCAGCTGGTGGGGTGACAGGGCATGTGGGGAGCCCTGCCAGAGGGAGGAGCCTGGGGGCGAGCTCACGGCCTCATGGTAGGTGTGCACCTGTGTGTGAGGCTGTGTGTGTGCACATGCATGGTGTGTGATACGGTGAATGAGCCTGTGTGACGTGGCCTGTGTGCTACTGTGGGTGTGAGGTTGCGACATGTGTGTGAACGTGTGCCACGGCAGGCTTATGTGGGTGTGGCATGGTGAGAATGCATGTGTGGCTGCTGTGGGTGTGGGTGTGATGTCCTGGTGGGGGGTGTCTTGCGTGGGCCACACAGAGCTGAGCAAATGATTTGTCAGGAGCCATGGGCTGGGGTCCCGGACACGCGTGGCCTCTTTGGAGGCTGAGCCTGGGCCCCCACGGCCTCTGCCAGCCTGCCCTCTGCCTCGGGTCTTGTTTCTGCCATCACCCTGTCAGAGGCCCAGGGCCCCGTCCCCCACTGTAGCGGCCGGCTTGGCTTTTGGCCTGAGTGAGCAGCACAGGCCTGGGCTTCTTGCGGGGCATTGGCTTGGGGCCCTTCCTCCCTGTGATGTGGCTGTTCAGGGATCAGCTCCCACTCTGACCCACCCCGCTGTCCACACGCACCTCCTGTCCCTAGCAAAACTGGAGGCCAGAGAGGCCCTGCTGTCCCTGTGCTGCACGGCTGGCCTATGTAGCGCCAAGGCCCGGGCTCCTTCCCCAGCCCAGTTGCACCTCATGGGCTTCCTCCTCCAAATCCAACCCAGAGCATGTCCCTTGCAGACCCCCCACCCCGAAGCAGCTCAGGGCCTGTAGCAGCTACCCAAGGGGCCCAGGTCCCTGCTGACCACTGGCCTCCCCCTCCCCCTCTTTCGGCTGTGTCAGTCCTCGTAGGATGTCAGAGTCAGTGCCTGGGCTCAGAGTGGCTCCCAGGCTGCGGCATAAACCACAGCTACCCAGAGACCAGTCCTCGGGGGCAGCGCCGCCTCTAGGGTCCTGGCTCCCCTCCCCCTCGAGGAGAACACAGCAGAGGAAACACTCGGCCTGGACCCCAGAGCAGCTCCTGCCCTTGGTCGGGCGGCCCAGAGTGACAAAGGTCCCCGGGAAAGGCAGCTCATGGCCACCTCTCCGGCTGCACTCCAGAGGCCCTGACGCCCAGCCGTGCACGTAACCCTGTGGTGGGCAGAGCACAGCGTGCAGAGGCAGGGCTGGGGACTTCCTGCCATGTTGACTGCTTCACACACAAAGGCCAAGCCAGCCCCATCTCAGCCCAAGAAGCCGAGAAACACCTTGGAGGGCCCTCAGGGAGGCCACGGGGTCTCGCCGGCTTGAGCCCGCACCTTGGAGGGCCCTCAGGGAGGCCATGGGGTCTCGCCGCCTTGAGCCCGCACCTTGGAGGGCCCTCAGGGAGGCCATGGGGTCTCACCGCCATGACCCCCTCAACCCCAGGGTGAGGCCCAGGCCAGTTTTAGCAGAGCTGGGCCAGAGGCTCCAGGAGGACTTAATTTTAAAAGATTTTTATTTTTACTAGTACAGACTTGCAGTGCCTCGCGATTGTGTCCATCCCGGGCGCTGGCGTGTGAACACAACTCATCCTACCTGGTCTGTGTCCCCTTCACCTCTCTAGGGAGAGCAGAGCCCCAGAGCCCTGGCTTTGCAGAGGCAGGAAGCCCTGCGGATTGGGGCCCTGGGGTTGCCTGCCCTGCTGCGCACTCCCCGTGCTGCCACTCGGAGGAGGCCTGGTGTAGCTGGGTGGCACAGCCATGGCGCCTCGTGCTCTCGCTTAGCCTTCAGGTACAGCAGCCGCCCCACAGCAGCCCAGAGGAAAGGACAGGTGGCGGCTCAAGTGCAGACAGGAGCACGGTGCGGGCTCCAGGCACGGCTGGATGCACTCGGCAGCAGTTTGCTTTCCTTGACTTCTTGAGGTGCCACAGTGGCTGTGTGGCCTGGTCCCGCTAATACCCTTGCGCCCTCAGGCCAGCAGGAGGACAGCAGCCTTAGGAAGAACCCAGCTGAATCTCAGGCTCTGTCCTTAACTGGCCCGCTGTGACCAGGGCCCAGGTGCTATGGGGGGTCAGGGCTTCTAGAGGCAGGAGTGGGCTGGACCCAGGCTCAGAGCCCGCAGGTGAGAGACAGTTAGCTTGCCGAGGAGTTTTGGGCTCGGATAGGGCGCCCGGCCCACCCGGCCCCCTCGGCCCCCTCAGACCAGCCAAGCTGCCCAACTTTTCCCTGCAGCTCTGGGGCGAGTCCTCACCACCCCTCTGCCTCGGGCTGGGGGCTTCTGTAGATGTTGATGGGTACAGTCTGTGCCCGGCCGTGTTCCCGCCTAGCTGTGTCTGGTCTCAGCGAGTTAGGAGCCAAGGGCCGGGCTGCCTTGTGACATCCTCCCTCTTGCAGGCTTCCCCCTGGTCATCTGTACCGTCTCTATCTCCTTCGCCATGGACAGCTACGGGACAAGCAACAAGTGAGTGGGTGTCCGGGGGTCTGGAGCCGCCTGGCCTGGGTGCTGTCTCTGTCTGTCGGGGTTGGCATCTGTGCTGAGAAAGCGTGGGCCAAGGACCTGAGCCGTCACGGGGCCTGGGAGCTCCTGACTGGGCTTCTTCACCCATGGCTGCCCAGCCCACGCTCAGGGCCTTCGGGTAAGCAGGTGTGGCTCTCAGCCAGCACCCAGGAACCCTGGGGCAGACCGAGTGCAGCTGCATGCACGCCTGTGGCCTGGGGCGGCGTGTGGAGGCCCGGGACCCCCGCAGCCCCAGATTGGCCCCTGCATCCCGGAATGTGGTCTTGGGGCCATTGTGGGGGAAGAACGCTTGAGAACCAAGAACGCTGCTGGCTGTGGCCTGGCGGGGTGGAGGCTAAGGATAGCCCTGTTGAGGCCGGTGGCCAGGTGGGGGCAGGTTGATGAGTGACACTTTGCTCTCCCCACAGCTGCTGGCTGTCGCTGGGGACAGGAGCCATCTGGGCCTTTGTGGGCCCCGCCCTGCTGGTCATTGTGGTAGGTGCTCCTGGGGCACAGAGCTGCACAGGGAGGACAGAGGGGCCCACTGTCCACATGGCTCCTCCTGACCGCTTCGGGAGAGGCCAGTGCCCCAGAGCCAGGCCACACAGAACACCTGCAGTCACCAGGAGCTCATGCCCTTGGTTTAGGAGAAGCAGAAATTATAACAAAGCCACACCTACGGGAGAAGCCGTCCTGGAGTGTGAGAAAGGAGACAGGAGTGGATGTAGCCTCGGTGGCTGGGGGACCCTCTGGTGGGGGTGCAGAACCCCAGGCCAGCTCACAGGCACTAGCTGGGGGATCCAGTTGTTATCATCTGTCCTGGAGTCACAGCCCTGGAGCCCTCGGGCCAGGGATGATGTCTGTCTGAGGGGCTTTCAGCTGTGTGAGCTCTGCCCAGCCTGGAGTCCAGGCTGTCACGGGTTGGGGACAGTGGCGGGAGGCTGCCGGTGTAGCTGGGTGTCCCGGCGGCCCTGGCTTGGTGCCGTTGGTCTCCAGGGCAGGAGGTCCTGCTGTGTGGGGTGGACCCCCCACCATCCTTCCCGCCCTGAGAGCTGCACGCCCTGTCAGAGCTGGGGGAGCCCAGATCGGGTTTATAGCTGCAGAGGGTGCAGTCAAGGTGCAGCCTGGCTCCGCTTGTTGCTCCCAGTGAACGTGGCTTCCAAGTCCCTTGCTGTCCCAGAATAAGATGAATCCTGCTGCTCACAGGCCAGACTTCCGCCTGCCCGAGCACCAGGGTGGTCTCAGTGATGTCACAACTGTGTCACTGATAGCCGTTGATGAACCTGCCTTGCTGCTGTTCTGACAACATTACTGGGCTGGAGTCCTTTCTGATGGGCCAGCTTGTGTATCTGGCCATCACAGACTGCTTACTGTGACTGGAGGAGAAGAGGTGCTCTGATTGGCTAGCTCTGTCTGAAACTGGAGGAGAGGGGTTCTCTGATTGGCCAGCTCTATCTGAGACTGGAGGAGAGGGGTGCTCTGATTGGCCAGCTCTATCTGAGGCTGAAGGAGAGAGGTTCTCTGATTGGCCAGCTCTATCTGAGGCTGAAGGAGAGAGGTTCTCTGATTGGCCAGCTCTATCTGAGGCTGGAGGAGAGGGGTGCTCTGATTGACCAGGCTTGGGTATAGCTCTAACCTGGGGGTAGAGTCCACCCTGCCCTGGGGGATGTGGCTTCCTGGAGAGCTGATGCTGTCCCTGAGGAGCAGAATCTGTCAAGATTGGCAGGAATGTCCTGCTTCCATCTCGTCCAGTACTCGAGGACCAGAGCTCCCTGACCAGCCCTGGCGTCACGGTCACTTGGAGTCTGGTGGACAGGGGTGTGTCCAGCTAGAGGGACCTGAGCCAACCCAGGTGACGGCAACCTGTGTGTTTTGAGCCAAGTCCCTGTGGTTCCTGGGTGGCACCAGCATGGGGTCCTTTCTCAGGCCCCAGGGAACCCAGGCTGTGGCTGACACCACCAGAGGCATAGGCCTTCAGGGTCCTCACTCACAGCCTTCCCGCTGGGGTGTCCGAGCTCCGTGCCCTGAGGACCATCGGACTCCACGCCGCACGAAGGCTACCAGTGGCTGTTGGGCGTGAGTTCTCGGGTGGCACCGATGCCCCATGCTCCATGCCCACAAGGACCCACCCCTTACCTCCCGCCCTTCCTCAGCTGAGGCCCCTCTAAGTGTCCCCTGTGGTGACACTTGTCACCCGCAGCCCTGGGGTCATGGTGGTTAAATTAAGGATGAGTTCCAGAGAGGTGCTGAAAGGCTGGGTTTGTTCTCTCATCATTGAAATTCTGCTCAGACCTCTCGTGCTGCCGAGGGGACTCTGTGGCTGCTGGCATCCTCGCTGCTGATTGGGATGGGGGTGGTGTCGCCTGTGCACGTGACCCTGGGTCCCTTGGGCTCCTCCACCAGAACGCTGTGGAGGCAGTCTCTTCTTCCTGACCCAGGGTACTGCTGGGGTTATCACAGGAGGTGAGTTTTGAGTTATTTTTCTTTTATTTTGGGACTAGTTACAGCTGAAATTTAGTTAGGTAACTTGAGTTTTGAAATTTTAACACATGTGGTTCAAAATTTTTAAAGAAGAACTTAAGGATATATGAGAAGTGTACACACATGAGAAGCCTCCACCCCAATCTTCTGAATTCCCTGGTCTCCACCTCCTCCAGGAGGTGCCAGGCTTGGGTGTCTCTCTACACCCAGCTTTTCAGTGGTCACCCTGAGCGGACACATGGGCTGTGGCTCGAAGCCCACCCTTGGCCCTCTGTGTCCCTCGGCACAGGTGGCACGCAGCCTGCTGGCCTCTGCCCACCATGCTGGATTGTTTCTCGTCCTTCTGACAGAAGGGCGGCCGGGGCTGGCAGGGGAAGGACCAGAGTGCAAACATGCGGGTGCTGGGTTCGAGAGCCTGCAGGCCCTGGGATGAGGTGGTCTCAGTGGGGGCGGGAAGGCCCAGATCTGTCTGCTGAGCCGGGAATGCAGATGTGGGGCCAACAGCTGGGAGGGGCATCTTGACCGCCAGCCCCCAGGAGTGCATCACTCCTGGCCAGCAGCCGCCCGGCCTGCCACACGGAACATTTGGGACACGGGTTGGGCGCAGGACTCCTACAGAGGCTTCTGGCCTGCGGCTGGCTGCCTCCGACTGTATCCAGGACCTCAGGACTCTTCAGAATCAGGAAGAACCCTGTGATGGTGCAGCCCTCAGTGTCCAGGGCCGTGGAGAGCAGCCAGGGAGGCCCTGAGTGACCCCAGCTGGAGGGTCCCCAGCCCTGAGGGTGCAGGGCAGCAAGGACATCTGAGATGACAGGCCTGGGCGAGGCCCTGCTGGGGTGACCGTCTTTCCATGGGCACTTTGCACTGTGGTTTCTTACTTGCTGTCACCGGTGGGTCATGGGTGGCAAGGCTGCTTGTTGCCAGGCTCATGCGAGTGAGCAGTTCACGAGGAGCTCTGACCCCTGCCCATGTGACCCCAAGGCCCCCCAGCTCGGACACAGAGCCAGGCTGGTCTGTGCAGGGAAAGCCCGTGTGGCACTGCTGGTCCCCGGCCACCACCACACCGCTCTTTCATCCCTCTTCCATGTAGGTCAACATTGGCATCCTCATTGCGGTCACCAGGGTCATCTCCCAGATCAGTACCGACAGCTACAAGCTCCACGGGGACCCCAGTGCCTTCAAGTAGGTTGGCTGCGGGGAGGGGCTGTGGGTTTGGAGCCCCACAGCCTGCGCCGGCCCACCTTGCCCACCCTCTGTTGGACCTGCAGACTCCGCCCTGTGGCCTCCTTGCCACAGCGGGGGAGGAGCGGTGACAAGGGAACCTGCTCACGGGAAGACCCTAGAGAGGGCCTTCCTGCTGCGGTCTGGCCTGGCCATGTGGACCGGAGGCCAGGGATGCAGAGGCCAGGTCCACACAGCTTCCTGCCCTGAGCTACTGGCCAGGTCCCAGAGGACCCAGTGTAGACCCCTGTATGGTAGCTCTGCAGTGACACTGTCCCCAGATAGCTCACGTCGCTGTCGGCCTCACACCCTGATGCATGCTGCTCTCCTGGTGGCAAGGCCTGGAGGAGCTGGGCCCTCGGGAGCCCCTTTCCTCCTGTGGACAGCGGCCCTGGCTGGGCTTCAGGTCATGGAGCAGAACTCACTGCAGGGTCTGGGGCCTGGGTCTCATGGCCACCCTGACCCTGGGCACCATGGGGCTGAGGGGCAGGCAGGCAGCTCCCAGCCAGGATCTGGGGTCTTTGCATACAGGGAACTTGAATTCTAAGCCAAGACATCTCCAGAGTGACTTCAGCTGCTACAGTAGATCTTTTCTGATTTGAAAGCAAATGTCATAAACAAGCTAGCAGCGGATCGATGAAATAATTATTCCATAATGAATTCCAAGCACTGTAAATTACCCTGGCATGCTGGCCTTTGAAGTTTGCTAGGAAGGAAGGAAGTTTGCAAGGGTGGGGTCGGGTGTAGCCCCCTGATTCGGGCCATTGTCCCTGCCCACTGTGGTGGCTAGCAGGGCCCTGTGCCCTCCCAGCCCCTCGGTGCCCTGGGAGAGTAGACTGCACATCCCTCCCACCTGCACGTCTCGGGGCCACATCGGGCAGGAGGGGCGCAGCCGCCAGGGCCGCAGCTCCTTGCCACCTTCTGGTCCCTTCTGGTGCTTTGCCTGTGCCCAACAGTTCTGTCGACGTGTGAGGAGAAGGGCCTCCACAGGCTGGACAGAGCCCCCAGGGAGCCTGGATGTCCCTGCCCGCCCTGCTCCTTTTACAGAAGAGCAAAGCGTGGCTTAAAGCAGCGCCTGACCCCTTTCTCGGGGCTTCTCCTGGAGCTGTCCTTGGGTCCTGAGGCCAGGCTGTTTCTGGGTCCTGGGACAGGCGTACTGCTTGGGTCCTGA